ACATATATATGTACATATATATATTTACATTTTTCTGGATTTCTAATAAATCTTATATTAGATATTCAAATTGTTTTTTATTTCAATTAATTTAATTGAATTATGGATATTATATGTAAATGTATGTAAACGTAAAAAAAATTCGTATATTCAAGTCATCATATATTACGTAGCTACAAGAAATTTATATTTATTAACAGATTATCAAAATTTTTATAGATTATAACGTGGCAAGTAATGTGCAATATTAATTACTACGATTTATTAATTACAAATAAATCGCAGATCTAGAAGAAACATTCATAAAGTAAAACCTTGAAGTTTTATTTCCTTGAAAATATCTTATTTTATCCATATTTCGTTTTGCTATCAAGGCTATAAAAAAATATAATTTTATGTAAGCACGAAATTTTGCAAAGAAATAAGAAATGTATTTTATATTTTACTATTGCAAAAATTTGATTGGTAGTATAAGCTTATTTTCTTTTATATTTTCTATAATAAATATTTTTTTCTACAATGTAGAATAGTCAAAATGACTGAAAAATTTGAAGGAGCAGATAGTGTAAAAAGTATTATTTGTTTATAAATATTGCACCTGTACATATCCACTTACGTAATTTGTAAATAAACTTCTTCCTATGAAAACATATTGCAATATGACAATCTACAAAAATGCAAATGCATACAAACACATAGTAAATGTATTAAATCATGTTAGAGCCAGTTGCCAATTAAAGTAGATCAATATTTTTGCTTGAACTACTTATTTCTTCTATACATGAACACAACCAAAGAAACGATTAATGTGGAGGCACATATGTATTAGCATAAACTTTTTTCTTTAGCTTTTTGTTAATTTTTAGCATTTTCTTCTTCCTACAGAATCTTGGTCTAATCAAATCTTGACTAATGTTAGCACTGCGAAAATTTTATGCAAACTATTACAAAACAAAGGTTTGAAGGCCTTTGGATATTTCTATTAAAATTCTAATGTATTTTTGGCTAACAATGATTATGTATAAACATGATTTACAAAGTTGAACGCATTGGTTTTTAGGTCAGTCATACCGTCATGATATTTAAAAGAGTTATGTATCTAAACGATGAAACGTCATCCGGTTGACTTAATATAAGTTATATGGATATAAATTTTGTTTCTGTTATCCTCAATATAATTGAGATTCAATTGATTGAGATAAGAGAAATTAACATCAGAAATATTTTTCAAGAAATATTTTCAACATTTTAAATTTATACGTTTTTGTTAATTCTATTACATATCTATATATCTCTATATTTATTTAAATCAACGTTTTTCAACCTTTTTTAATTTATGACATATTAAATAATTTCTCGAGATGTATCATTACGCGCATACGTTTTAGTGCTCAGCATAGATCTTTTATCAGATATATTGCTAACACGTTTTTACTTTATTTCTAAATTTGAATATCTATAAATTTTTCGTTTTTATTTTTTTTTTAAATTATCGCGGCACACTTAAAAAATATATTGAAAAACTCTGATTTAAATAACTGTATTTCATATACAAAAAATAAACGAATAATTATTTCAATAAATAATAATACGAATAATTTGTTTATAACATAAAATGTTTTAAGAAAACGGTTCATCACAAATTGAACTTGATAACATCTGTACATTAGCTTGAAATTATTCTATAAAATACATGCCCATAATATTAGTCTGACGTATTTAATTGTCTCATGATCTGTTGCGTAATCAATTTAGTCGCTTCACTCGCATTAGGTATAAGAAACTTATCCATATCAGAAATAACTGTGTCGTTATATTGCGTCGTACCATATTTAAAAGTTATTAAATCGGCGTGCCGTTTTCTTGACGTTATTTTGACGATACTCGTTAAGGGACGTTTCACAATTACATGCGCGGCGCCCTTTCGTTCCGGGATTTCTCGCAGTACTATAAGATGACTATCGGTAACCAATAGTTGACTAAAACAAAAAAACATTATACACATGAATAACTTTACATACGAAAGAAAATCCCTTTTTCTTATAAGCTCACCTATCACAGAGATCACCATTAACTTTCACTTCTTGGCATTTAAAGGAATGTAATAACTTGGGATCTTTCATCCATTGTTGTATTGATACTACTTCAATAGGCTCTTCACTTTCATTATTAGTCATTGTCATATCTAGAAAAGATTAGATTAGTATCTTTAATAAAACAATTACATAAGAATAATTAAGAGAATTACCTATCTCTTGATCATCATCTATACTAAACACAGGCGCGGTCTTTCTTTGACGTCTAATATAGTCCAAGTCTTTACTATCTCTCTTTTCTGTATTACTATTAACATTTGTAGGATTAACAATATAATCAAATAGCTTTCCTTTTACTTCCTGACTTTTTAACTTCATGGCTAATCCGATCTTGCCCAAAAGATCAGAATTATTGTTTTTAACTTTAACAGGGCTTGCTTCGTTCGAATTTTCTTCTAACATATTAGCATTACATACTAAACAATATTGTGAATTATGATCAACAAGACTTGATACCACTTCATCGCCGAAGTATTCATGAATGGCTGAAAACAAAATTATAATTATATAAAAAGAATATAATTTATCTTCGTCAAATTATACTAAAAAATAGAAAATAAATACCTTGATATCCAGAAGTAACCATGCTCACGTAATGTGTATGTTTTTGTAAAAAGGATGCTACTACCATATGCGTGTAGCGATCTTCCTCTTGTCTACCGCTTCCCAGAAAACAAAGATGTTCTCCACCAGCTTGTGAACCAACAGCTAATGCTTGACGCTGAGCTTGTAGTAAGCCTTGTACCGCTGTAGCAAACGCGGCAGGTTCTTGCAGCATCTAAAAAGATAAAAATGTGTTTAATCTTTTTTTTCTATCAAAATTTATATATAAAGCAATATATAAAAATCATAATTTTAATAAATTTTAAACTATGTAAACTTAATACATATTTAAAACATTATTTTTTACTTTTATTTTATTGATAACTTACCAAGTTGCAATCGAGATGAAATGCCGTTGGTAAGTGGCCTGCATTGTATTGTTCGGCAGGTCTACAATCCACAAGAAAAAATCTAACAGCTTCAACAGTGCTATTAGGTAAAGATGGAGTTTCGATAGCATTCTCTACTAATTCTTGTGCTGATACGGGTAAACATAGTGCATGAGAGATTAGCTTTTCTTCAGAACTTTCACCAAACATTATGGGATACAAATCTTGTTTAAAAGATGTTGGTGTTTTCATTGCGTAATACTGTGCCAATGAACAGAAATCGGTTACATCCTCTGCTTCCAAAGCACAGGGCATTACTGCTATTGCATCTATTATACTTTGCTTGTCTTCGTCCTTCATGTTTAAAATTTGCTCTCTATAAAGATGAGAATTTAAACAATGAAATAACAAATATATCTAAATTAATTTAATCAATATTTACCTAGCATTTATAACCATAATTAGTGAGAGAAACAGCATGAAAAATGGATCAGCTTGCATAAAGTACAGATCCCACATTGTACAGACAGCTGGTAATGAACAGACACCGGCGAAAAGAGTATTCATCCATACTTTTGTATATTGATCAGGTGATATCCTCTTCGTGTCCAAAAAGGAGCACAGCTCTGGCTCATGATAGAGAAGCAGTAATCTCAAAACTGAACTATATGTTTCACCTCTAAAAAGAATAGTAAACATATTATTACAAAATTTGCAATTATAAATAATCAATTTTACATTATCAATATCAATAAAAAAATATTTATTTAAGTAACAAAAAGATAACAGTAATTATCTTTTACCTTGGAATATAAATATCTCTTATTGCTTCAAAGAGATTATAAGTTGCAGCACGTGGTAATTTTAAAGCTATTAAAGGACCTAATAATTCTAGCCATCCATTTCCTTTTTCATATTGTTTACATTTACTTTTACAATAAAACGTTAGTATAGATTCAAGATCCGAAACTACAGAAACTTTATCTTCATCATCATTCCCAAGTTTTGCTATAATGTTTAACAGTATAATAGTAGTTGTTAGTAAATATAAATGAGACTAC